TTTATAAAAGATAATATGTTTTTTTTTATCAACTTGTATCAAATTCAATAGCTAAAAACAACCACTCTAAAAAAAAGAATACTAATGTTTTATCAAAATTTTTTTATAAATTTTCTTTTTTTGATTATTAAATTTTCTACTTTATTAAATTAAAAATTGATATTTTGTTACAACTTTGTTTTCTTTTTTAGGAATGTTTTTTATACTCAGTAGATAAGTTTAGCTTTTTTGCTAATAATTATTGAAAAGCTTTATAAGTTAAAAGATGCAATTTGCTGCAGTAACTTGTCTAAAAAAATTACTTTAAAAGTGGACAAACAAGGCACGTCTTGTTTGTCTGTACATGGGAACCGTACACGGTTACCAGGAAGACTTGAACATCATAAATATTAAACTCTGGACTAGAGTGCATATTAAGTTTGATGGAGTGTCACCTAGAATTTTTTACTAATAGAGTGTTTTTTTTATTTGTGCTGACATGGTTTATCTTTTGTGCTGACATGATTTATTCATTTGTGCTGACATGGTTAATCATATTTAAAATTAGTTTCACTTGCTAAGAATAAAAAAAATACCAAACTCTGAATCCCCTCCCTCAATTAAAAAATGTGAGGGCTGTTAATTTTACATAACCACAGCACCTCAAAATCAAAGTATTTTTTAATGAAATTTGAAATCTACTATTTATTTTTGATTTAGTTTAAATCAGTATAACTAAATCAAAAATACTATATTTAAAGGTGGGCCTGAGTTGTCTAAATTTTTGGGTTTTATTTGTCTCCTTGAAAAAAAGTTTGCTCCAATCCCATGACTTTTTATAAGACAACTTTATTTAACAATATAATGAAATATAAAACTTTTACCAAATATAATTTCAATCTTATAATCTTATAATTTCAATATAAAACTAAGTGTTATAATCTTTAAATTAAAAATCTCCATAATCTTTATGATCTATACTGTGTTTATATGGTTGCCATTTAGGCTTAAACTTTGCATGAATTGCTTCACCACGCTGTTCTGCATACTTTGACAAGCCGCACCTTGCATGCTTTACAAAAGGAAATACATGGCGACATATAATACTGATTTTCCATGAAACTGTTAATGTCTTTTTAAGCAAAGAAGCTATTTCTTGCAGGCATAAAAAAGCATCTCTAAACACTCTAACTATTTTAAGTCAGAATCAAGATTTTTTCCAAAACAAGTTTCTTTTTCAGATTTAAAATTTCTTAAGCTTTGGACTACAGAAAGTAGATATGTTACTTTAAGTTGCACTTCAAGTTGTACTTAAACATTCTTTTTTTTTTTTGAATAAAATAAAATGTTGAGATTGCACATGCATTAAATGTTTTAATTGAAAATCAGGATTCTTTTAATTGATTAGTATTTTAAGTGAACATCATGATTGTTTTAAATGGATGTCTTATTTGTTTTAAATTGATGCAAAACCCTTAACCCTTTCATAACCAAACAAAATACAAAAAAACAATTGTAAGTGAATTGTTATTATCGATTAAAAAGCTATAGAATAAAAAATATTTGTCAGAACTTCACAAATGAGACCTTGTTATGTTTGTCAGAAAAATGGCAGCCAAACTGTTTTTTTAAAAGTGTATCTTTTTTGAGTCTTAGTGAAATAACTAAATGCCGTATTTAGCGTGGTCACATTTGGTCACAAAAAATATCATACCCCCACATAGTGGGTGACTGGTATTGAAAGAGTTAAACATTAAGTCTTTATGTAAAATGTATAATATTTCAATGTCATGTAAAAAAGTTTTAATTTTTATGTGGATGTGTTATATATAATACATATATAATGTTTAAAATTATAAATTTCAATGTTTTGTAAAAAAATTTAAACTTTTTTACATGACATTGAAATATTATACATTTAAACATATTATAGACTATAAAGGTCGTACTTTATTCCTGCTTATTGGTGACAGTAAATACAACAAATGATTATATACAATATATATTTAGATATATAACATAACTAAAATAAATTGTTACAAACAAATCTCTTTGCATAATTATTTGTTAAGTTGTAGTGAAAAACTTGTTAATTTATAATCTGAAATACTTTAAGTTGATTGGGCTAACAAAATGCGATCTTTAGATCCATGTTTGAGTATCAGTGTTTCAACAATTACTGAACTGAAAGTGTCTGAAATTGTATGCAGTATTTGTTTTCTTGTTACTGGACAAGACATTTCTCATCAGTATATACAAGCTGCTGCTGTACACAACTTGATTGGCCACTGTTTAAACAAAACGCCTAGTATATCTTAACATGGATAAAAATATTTCGCTAGAGAAGATAGTTGCTCCTTCTGAGTTTCTTATTGGAGCAGTGGATAAGATAGCAGGATTTCTTTCAACTGAGTGGGATGGTTTTGAGTTGTGGTTAAAAAAAAACACTATATAGTTAAAAGAATCATGGAGTTGGATGGGATGGTAAAAATGCAAATAAAATTCTAAAATTAGAATAAATTCTATTAAATTAAATAAATTAATATATTATTAATAAAAATAAATTTATATAAGATTAAATAAATAAATATAAATATAATAATAATAATAATAATAATAATAATAATAATAATAATAATAATAATAATAATAATAATAAATAATAATAATTATAATATAATAAATAATAATATAAATAAATAATAAATCATAATAATTATAATAATTAATAATAGATAATAATAAATAATAATAATAAAAATATAAAACTGTTTTTTTTTTTGAATAATATAGAATGTTGATATAGGGCATGCGTTAAATGTTTTAATTGGAAATCATGATTGTTTTAATTAATTATCATGAATGTTTTGAATGAATGTCATGGTTGCTTTAAATGCAAAACCCAGTAAATGCAAATTATTTCAATTTTATTTAAATAAAATATGGGTAGTCCTTTGTTATTTATACTTTACTATAGTACTATTATAAAACATCAATTTAAACATAAAATATTAGTATATAAAATATATTAGCAACTTGAACTCCTCGTGATCCTCTAGAAGTATTGCCACTTTTAAGAAGGTATAAATTTTGTTTACAATTACCACATATGACATTAGGAAAAGTTATAACATTTTATAATAACCATCATATATGTAGAGTTTGATAATATCTTGTATTCGGATGGTGACTTCTGATAGCAACTTAGATCTAGCATTTTTTCAACCCAACACAATGCACAAACCAAATCACGTAAGAAACTGTTTCCAGACATAATATATTTGGTATTTTTATTTATTGAATATTATTACATTAGGCAAAGAGTAATATGCAGACAATTTTCATTAAAGGAGAAGCACTATGATATTTTATTTTATTGAAACTGTTCAGTCGGTAGTCTAGTATATTAAATTTGCAATTGACTTTTTTAAGCGAATTTTAAAATTAATTTAAATGATCATTTGGCTGCTTAAAGAGTTCTTCTGCATAAGATTTGGAATTTTAATTTTACTTACTCATTTGTATATTTAATGTGAAAATTAATTTGACAATTTTACACTCTGTAGCAAGTGAAACTAGTATTAATTATGATTAAATCATACTATAACAATGACAACAATTTACTATTACTGTTGACAACTATTTACTACTACTTTTACTTAATTACTACTACTTTTACTTAATTACTGATGACAACTATTTACTACTACTATAACGATGACAACAATTTACTATTACTGTTATCATTATAACTATTACTATTATAAATTATCATTATAAGTAATTATTATTACCATTATTAATATTGTTCCATTAATATCCATTTTTCACTCTTCTCAGTCTTATTAAAAACAAAAAACAGAACTATATTAGGCTGCTAAACTGTAGATTTACTAATTACCTTGTAAAAACAGTTACAATGTTCACTAACCCACATTATATATTACAACAAATAACTGTACTTATTGTTATACCCATGTCAAATTACCACTTACAACTGTGGAGGTTTGCAGCAAACACCATGATGGGATACCCTGACAAAAGTTCTTTTGAGATTGAAAAATGGGACAGTCTAACTCCGGTATATACACAGAGTGGATCCTCTTGTGGGATGACAGTCTGGGAGGAAAGCTAAAGGTCCTCTTGTGTTCATGCTGTACAGAGGCACAAACTCATACAAGATACTGTGAGACATCCATGAAAAATATATATATATATATACACACATATATATATATATATATATATATATATATATATATATATATATTTATATATATATATATAATGCATGTTTAGCTCACCACATGGTATCTACTTATAAAATGAATAATTCAACAATTGAGATATTTTATACATTTACACTTTACACTAACAGCTATTCATTACCATGACTATTAATGACTTTTACCTATTATATGTTATTTTCTTTTATATTTACTACATTCTATCATGATTTAATTTTAGTATCTTACTTCTTAACGAATCTTTGATTTCCACTAGACATCTGTCCTTTTGTACTTTTATTTCAATCTGATACACCATTATTAACTTACTAAGTTTCTCTAAGGCAGCTCTACTAGAATGCATTGCATTTAACATAATATATATATATTATATATATATATATATATATATATATATATATATATATATATATATATATATATATATATATAATGAATATATTATGACTACCTCTTATTTTATTTTTTATTTTTGTTTTACCCAGCCATTTTCATTAAAATATATAATATTATATATACCTCTATTATTCAGTAATATTGAACACTGTAACACGTACAAGAGACTTTGTATCATTACATCAAAATACTTAACCTCAAATATATCATATATATATATATATATATATATATATATATATATATATATATATATATATATATATATATATATATATATATATATATATATATATATATATATATATATATATATATATATATATATATTATTGAATTTTACACTATAAACAAATTATAAAGCCTAAAATATATTACCAGTAATTAAAACACATTTTCCATTAAGACTTTTCTTTTTAAACGGAAACAACTTTCTGTAAAAATGCTCAATAAACGATAGAATTACAACAATAGCTGTTGTGATTATATTCATAACCTCAACAAAGTTATTCATTACTTCTTTTCATACTGTTAAAAAAAATGAAAATCAGTCTTTTAAAAATAAAAACTAACATAAATTTTATATTACATAATGTAATATAAGATTAATAAGCATAATAAATAAATATAGTAGCATATCATATACATAATACTTGTAATATGGTTTATAAGTATTTGTATAGAGCAAACAATCATATTTTTTACATAATCTGTCATATTAGCAGTATGTTTTTAAATAGCACAATACTAATTTATTACATCAACAAAATCCTAATTTTTACATCATAATTTTTACGTCCAAATATGTTTTAAAAAATCTCGATTATCCGTGCAGAGTTCAGACACCGGGGGTCAATGTTATAAAACTTTTTATCGGCGTAAAATGCTACCGGCGGAATTTTTACTATGGAATTTTTACCGCCGTAAATTTAGAGACGTAAAATGTTTTTTCATTCAATGTTATAAAACTTTTACCGGCGTAAAATTTTGCAGATATCTATGCTCTGAATTTATTTTCGGAAATCTACTATCCGAATCAATGACATAAAAGGTTGTCAAAAACAAAATGTTTTTGAGTTGAAAACATCAAAGTTAACAAAAATTAACAGTTTCTTATGGATTTGGACTTAGACTGTTCCGATTCTGATGAAAAATATTTTGTTACTTTAGAATATTTGGCAAATCAGAGACAACCACGAGAAGTAAAACTGTTCAAATAGTATTTAAACTGTTAAGAATACAATTTAAAAGTAAAAAAATGGAATTGTCATTAATTTTTTAGCCTAACCTATAAGAAAATTTGTATAGCTTTTCTATAAAAATAACTTATACTATTTTCTATATAGAGGTTTCTTTAGAGTTGTTAGTCCTGGGCCTTGATCTTGATTTAAGACCAAAAACAAATGTCTTGGATTTGAAACTTTTGGCCTTGGCCTTGAAGTTTTTGGCTTTGACCTTGATCGTTTTAGCCTTGTTCTTTATAGTAAAATACATAAAATTAAAGAATTAAAAGTTTTTATTCTTTTTTTACGTAATTAATTAGGTAATTATTCATTCTTTATTTTGTAAAATTGTGTTGATATAAATATAGAAAATTTATACACATTTTTTATTATACAATATATACACATAGAAACACATATTATACAATCTATACACATAAAAAATCTATACAAACAGAAAAAATAGGAAAAATTATATAAATAAACTTTAAAAGAAAATGACTTTAAATATTAAATAACTAAAAGAATTATTCACTAACTCAAATTCTTATAACAAAAATTTATTTAGACACAAATAAACATTTGAACATAAAACTTTTTTTATTCTTTCTGATAAGAATTTTATCCACAATAAGTTTTGATGTGATTCCATACCACACACAATCTGAGAAACTTTGGAAACAAGTTGTACATAATGTCTAAAAACTTTCTGAATTAGAAGAAAAATCTTTGATGTATTTTGTTATCTGACTTTATCAAAAATATTTGAGCTCGTACCATATTTGAGCAACTAAGGTAATTTCTAGAACTTTAATAATTCTGTTTATAGTTTGATCACTTGTTTTACCATTTCGAATTTCAAATAACCTCTGCATAAATTTTAAATGGAGAAATTTCTTTTGTCTGTCCATTTTGAGTTAGTCTAAAACAAAAATTGATCTGATTTTTGGATTAATAAATAGTCCTAATAAATCTCGCATAAGTGTATTTTTCTAATTAGCTCAATAACAAACTTTGGAAATTTTTAAACACTTTAAATTCCTGATGGTTTTCTTTCAGGCTAAAAGAAAATTTGTAAAATTATTCTAACAAGTTAAATTTGTTTATAAACTTTCATTCATGAAAACCTATATACATATATATATATATATATATATATATATATATATATATATATATATATATATATATATATATATATATATATATATATACATATATATATATATATATATATATATATATATATATATATATATATATATATATATATATATATCTACTATAGTATATTTATTATATATATATATATAATTATATTTATTATATATATATATATAATTATATTTATTATATATATATATATCTACTATAGTATATTTATATGCGCAATTGCTCACTTTTTTTGCTAGCCTAATTTAAGTGAGCGTTTTTAGAAAACGATCAGGGAAAACGAAGAATAATGAATGAAAAGGTTGCTGACCCATACCAAACCCTCAGTCGATGTAGCAGCACTCCACTGCGAGTCAGGCTATTTGTCAGTCGATGTATGTACTGAAGCCCCCGGCAGCAGGCTATTTGACGTTAGGTGAGTATATATATATATATATATATATATATATATATATATATATATATATATATATTTATATGAAGAATAAAACTAGATAAAAAAAAATATTTATCTAGTTTTATTCTTTGACAACGTGTTTCTCCATCAGTAGGTTCATAAGGAAGGTTTATCAGTAGGTTCAATAGTTGATCAGGCTTCCTGATAAACCTACTGATGGAGAAACAAGCTCTCGAAGATAAAATTAGATTAGTGTTTTTACTATTTTATTATTGTTATTAAATTATATAGTCTTTAAGAACATTGAGCACTCTCTCTGCATATATTTCTCTCTCTCTTTATATATATATATATATATATATATATATATATATATATATATATATATATATATATATATATATATATATATATATATATATATTAATTTAAAACATAGATAATACGAATTCTCTCAATACTAAATAATTTATTTGAAATTTTCGCCGGATTATAGGCACCGGCATCATCAGCATCATAGTCATAAGAAATATATAGTCTGGAAGCAAACAATAGCGCTTTGTTTATGTTTTTGTTCCAGAAATTACTCGTTCTCATTCTTCCGAAGGTGCACAGTAAACATAAACATCGCATAGCGAAAGTATCGATCTCCTTATTTTCTTGATACTTTTATATTAAATTTAAACAATTGTAATTTATTTTTGTGAATTGATTACAATTTGCTTTATTATTATTTGTTCTTGCAAGCTTGGCATTGTTAAAAAAAAAAAGATTTATTCAAAATTATGCAAAACTACATTATCCCATGTAGACGTTGTCTAATAATAATAAGTTATTAATATATATATAAGGCTCTTATTGAAAAGACGTTGTCTAATATTACTTAAAAAGTTCAAAAGTCTATGAAATAATTTTTCTTCGGTCTAAAACATGACTTTAAATAAATATGAAAATTAAAGACAATATATATATATATATATATATATATATATATATATATATATATATATATATATATATATATATATATATATATTTATATATATATATATATATATAGATAGATAACTTTTTATTTTTTCGCTACCGACTTTCGGTAGGCTATCCACTGCGATATATATATATATATATATATATATATATATATATATATATATATATATATATATAATATATATTATATTTATGAATATATATATAATATATGATATATAATATATATATATATATATATATATATATATATATATATATATATATATATATATATATATATATATATATATATATATAAAACTTACAAAGATTTGAAAAAATGATTTTTTTAAATAAATTTTAGTTTTATATTTTTATTGGCAATATAATAAATATCATAAACAGTAAAGTAATTTTAGAATTTTGAAGCTAGTGAAAAAAATCTAACACTTAATATTCATAATAGTTAAATGTTCAAAAACATCAAACTTAAATACATTATACTGCATTTGCTTATACGCATCATGAAAAGTAAAAATAACTTGGAATTTTACTCACCGTTAATAAAAATTGCCATTTATTAGTCATAAATAGTGAAATCCAATCATTGAAAAAACATTTTCTTTTTCAGAATGTCAAAGAACAAAATATTTCTACCAAATTTCAAGTTTTTGTGTCAAAGAACAAAAAATCAATCAACATTAGTATTGATTTTTGATCTTTTGACACAACACAATAAACCATTTTACAAACATCTGGAAAAAAATGAAAATAATTATATAACATATTATATATATATATATATATATATATATATATATATATATATATATATATATATATATATATATATATAATATATATATATATATATATATATACACAGTAGCTTTCATAAATTTAGACGCATTCATTTTTTTTTTCATATATGTAAGAAAATACTCAAAATAAAAATAAAATAAAAGTGCTACCGCTATGTTTGATATATAATTTAAAAGAGGAAACGAAACTCTATTATAGAGTACCTTAATTTTTTTTACAGGATGTTTATTACTCATTTTATACCGATTAACACAAAAAAGTTAATTGATAAACTTGATTTTATTTTGTTCATAAATTTAGACGCACAATTAAAAAAGTCTTATATCTTGTTAATTGATAGTTAATTAGTAGTTTTTTTCTTATATTTCTCATTAATAGGCCTAAATTAATTGATTTTGTCAAAAAACCTTATATAAATATGACTTACCTGGAATTATTTAATCATTATTCAATAAATAAACAAAAGTTAAGTTAGTTTTGCACTAAAAAAACGTAAAAAATGGGCAAAAAACGTATTACTCAAGGTGAAAGATGGCAAATTATTGCGCACATCAAAGAAGGAACCAAAAGTAATAGAGAAATCGCCAAGTTAATTGGAGTTTCTGAGAAATGCGTTCGGACAACGAAACAAAACTTTCTTCACACTGGTGGTGCCAGCGAGAAAAGGAGGCCAGGTAGACCCTTGTCAACCACGAGAAAGGACGATAGTGTTCTTTTTAGAGCTGTCAGAGCTAATCCAAGAATTAGTTACAAAGAATTGACCACAGAATTCAATACAACGCGAAATACATCTATTTCTCAAAGCACAGTCCGCCGAATACTTATCAAATACAAGATTGGAGTCTACACTGCTTTGAAGAAACCGCTTCTGCGTCCATATGATAAACAAAGGAGTCTAAAATGGTGTCGTCAAAGAAGGTATTGGACAATAGATCAATGGGAAAACATTATGTGGAGTGATGAGAGTAACT